GTTGTAAAATTACTAATAATTTATTTATAATCGATTTCTTGACTAGGATTATATATGTTTCTACTTTCTAGGATCATTATTCAATTCTTTTAGAATTTTTTGATTTTCTAAAAGTTCTATGTTAGGCTCTCACCAACTTTTTCTTCTTCTTCTTCTTCTTCTTCTTCTTCTTGGATTCCATTGTCTTCTAGCTCTATTATATTAGTGATTTGTTCATCTACTATAAATTCTTCCTCCTTTTGGGAATTGTACTAAAATTTCAATTCTTTTATCTTTTTTTTTTGTGGCATTTTTAACATGCAAATTCATATTTTCTTGTTGACATATTAAAATTCTAATAAAAAAAAAGAAAGATAATACATATACTTACAAACAAAAGTTATCAAAAAAATAACAAATTTTAGATGCAAAGTAATAAGAAAAGTACAGAACAATTGAACATGGTTTAACAAACATAGATAACTTGATATTACTTTTGTTGCTTCAATATTTTTGGTGTAATGCCGGGAAAGCTTGACAAAAAAGGAGTTCGCAATTGCATTCTGCTATCGTATTTGACAGAATATTTTATGAGACAGTGGACTTGTAAGTCTGGAGAGGCTAAAAGGAATATAAAAGATTTAGTAAAAACTAGTTTGAAGAGAAAGTAATTAATACAAGTAATATGGGCCATGTGATAATAATGATAGTGTATAAAGGAGGCAAGAAACATATTCACATGCAAGGTTTAGGGGTGAATCCCGAAAATTACTATTCATATTCCCAAAATAATAAGGGTCAAATAATTTATCTGTATATAATTTGTATCTTATCACAATCTCATATTCAGAATTTAAGATTGGTTCTTGCCCATCATTATCACAATGAGAATATGTACAAACTCTTCATTTATATTCACTATGATTCTATGAAACTATTACCTATAAGTTATTCCTTAGAGGCAAGTTATTTTCTGAAATAATAACAATGTTCTTTTCAAAAAATAAAACTAAACCTCTAGTATGCAAAAAAATTGAAAGGATCAACTCATTTCTATACTATAAGATCACAAGATGGCACAAGATATAAGTGCATGAACTAAATTTAACCTCTCTATCGCAATAGGAGCTGATTGTGCTCTTTTTTTCTTTCTTAAAAAAAAGTAATACAATTACCAGGGACCTATAGAAAGGTTGTGCACAAATTTAGCCATTTCTTGCACCTATAAAAACAAAACAGAAAATTATCATTAATATAGAAAAATACATGTAGAAATAAATTTTTAATTGCACATAAACCTGATTATCTACAAAGTTTACTTCTTTTGCAAACATGTAAAGAAAGATATAACCACTATTGTGAAAAAAATGCATAATTCAGATAGTTGTAAACAATTGAAGGTTTCGACATGATAGTTTCTTACACTGCACTTGCACATAATGCCTCGACTTTTGATCAAGTATATAAAGGATGCCATGGTGGCACAATTGAATCACATAAGTTGTGAACTACTAAATTAAGAAGACGCCCGTACAAATATATTCATATCTTGCACCTATAAGGAAACATGAGATTACCATTGTTTCTAGTGGAACAAAAAAAAATCTAAACATAATTACCATTTAGTTGAAAACAAAAAGGCATGAAATTTACTTATCAAAGCAAGCTGAAGGATATAGTTGTGGATATATATAGAGAGAACTTCAAGGCTGTGAAGGACCTTTTCAAATTCAATAATTAAGTGGTGTCTTTCCATTTTTCAGATTAATGGAAATAATCCATTTTTGCAAACATTTGAGCATTCCTTGGGGAAAACCAAACGGCTACTTGAGCTTTATTAGGCCTATTCCATTTACTTAGTATTTTAATTAATTATTTTGTAACTGAAGTAGATATAATGAGATGTAATAAATAGGATAGAAAATGATCATTTTCCAATTATTATACAAATTAAATGAAAAGAATGAAGGGAAAAATACAAAAATAAATAAATATGATCCTTGGCCAAAGAGAGGTGCCACTTCACTTTTCATAAATATATATATATATATATATATATATATATATATATATATATATATTNTATTTAGAAATGGAAGTTGAGAAGGACGAACAATGGCAAACCTGTAATTTCAATATTATTTGGGGTAAATTAGTAACTAAAATTATCCTGTACATATGTTTTCTTTGGTCATATCGATTAATTCTAGAATACATTCCAGAGCTCTATTCTCTCTCTCTCACACAAACGTCATTTTGTTTCCTTTCCTTTTCTGCTTATAGCCTTCGTGACTCACTAACTGGTCATAGTTTTCAAATTTCCCTGCATTGGTTCGAGATTGGCTTGTGTTGTTGTATTCCTGAGTTGCGGTAAGTTTTTTCCTTTTTTCCTTCTTTTTTATTCGCACTCTCCCTATTCCCTGCTTGCCCTACAAGAATGAAACTTGTTAGCTTCCATGGCTATGGAAGCTCTTAGCTGAAAGCTCGACTTGGAGAAGAAGCTAAGAGAGAATTCAGAGAAACAAAATTACTGTTCTATTGAAGTTGAAGAAAATAAACTTTCTTTACATTTTAGTATCTACAGTGTATTTATACTACAAATTAGTTACTAACCTCCTAACAACCTTTCTAACTGTTTAACTAATAAGATTAGCTAACTCTACTCTTAACCACCTACGCTAACTGTAGTTTAATAGTTCCACTTCTCTTAACACTCCCTATCAAGCTGAAGGCTTGTAGAGGTTCTTCATTCCAAGCTTGTCTAGTAGATAGTCATGCTGAGTCTTTCCCAAGCTCTTTGTGAAAGTCTGCTAGCTGTTCCTTGGTGGACACATGCTGGGTTTTCATTATGCCTTGCAGTATTCTTTCTCGAACAAAATGACAGTCTATATCAATGCGTTTGGTTATTTCATGGAAGGTGGAATTGGCTGCAATTTGAATTGCAGCTTTGCTATCACACATAAGCTGCACAGGTGAGTTTAGCCGAATTCAAGTTCCTTGAACAACCCAATTAGCCAAACTATCTCAGCAGTGCATGATGCCATACTTCTGAACTCAGCTTCCGCAGAGCTTCTGGACACAATCTCCTGTTTCTTTGATTTCCATGAGATCAATGCATCACCAAACGTTACTAAATAACCTGTGACTGACCTCCTAGTTTGTAAGCAGGAACCCCAGTCAGAGTCACAGTATGCAGACAACTGATTAGTATTCTGTACTGGCATAAAGAGTCCTAACCCAGGAGCCCCTTTTATGTACCTTACAACTCTCAAGGCTGCTTCCATGTGAGACACCTTAGGATTGTGCATGTATTGACTTAAGACTTGAACCACAAAGGCTAGGTCTGGTCTGGTCATAGTCAACTAAAGTAGCCTCCCTACAAGCCTTTGATAGATGCCTGGATCCCTGAGTGTTGCATCTGTTGCTTCTGAACTTTCTACACCTGTTACAGCCTTGTCATACTCCTTAGAAGTTAACTTCTGATTCAGATCAAGAGGTGTGCCTGCAGGCTTAGCTCCCCCTAGCCCTGACTCAGAGATGAGTTCCAAGGCATACTTTCTTTAAGACATGACAATACCTTCCTTTGATATGGCAAATTCAATGCCCAGAAAATACTTCAGATCACCTAGATCTTTCATCTTAAAGTTTCTCTGCAGATATGCTTTTGTCTGGTTAAGTTGCACCACATTGTTGCCTGTGATTAGTAGATCATCCACATAGACCAAAACCACAACTAAGTCACTGCCCTTGTGTTTGGTGAATATGGAGTAGTCAAAGTGACTTTGCTGAAATCTCATGTGCATTAATGCCTCAGTTAGTTTCTTGTTCCATTGCCTTGGGGCCTGTTTGAGCCCATACAGGACCTTATGTAGTTTGCAGACCTTGTGAGACTCCCCCTGTCTAGCAAACCCATCAGGAATCTGCATGTACACTTCTTTTAGGAGATCACCATTGAGAAATACATTGTGCATATCCATCTGGTAAATAACCCCCTGTTTAGCTGTTGCTAAGGCAATGATTGTCCTGACTGTTACCATCTTTGCTATAGGAGAAAATGTTTTATTATAGTCAAGTCCCTCCTTCTGGCTGTAGCCTTTGGAAGCCAACCTGGCCTTGTACCTCTCAACTTTCCTTGAAGCCTTAAACTTTATCTTGAAAATCCATTTGCACCCAATAAGTGTTTTGCCTGTAGGAATATCCACAATACTCCATGTGTGGTTGTCTTCTAGAGCAGCTATTTCAAGTTTCATAGCTTCAATCCACCTGGGATTAGTGGCTGCTTCTCTGAAGGATTTTGGTTATGTGAGGGAAAAGTAGGATGAGAGAGCATGTATGTGAGCTGGTTTGAGAGTGTCATAAGACACACATGAGGAAATATGGTATTTATAGGTATGAGAGATGGCTGGTTTGGTCATTTAATCTTGTAGCCACAAGGGTGATTTGCTAGGTCTTGATGACCTTCTAAGGTTCATAGCAGGAGCCTGTGATGACTCTGAAACACAAGGCTCAACAACAGAAGGAGAGTAACCTAAAGAAGCAGGTTCCTCTGAATGTTGTTGTGCATGTGAAAGAGCAGCTGTGAATGTGTCCATAGTTGGACTCCGAGATGGATTAGGAGACAAAGGAGTACCATGAGGCTCAGGCATATGTTGCATATCTGTGGTAGAAGGAAGAAGGTCTAGAACAGGAAACATGGGAGTGCCAGTGATTTGTAGATGTTTAAAAGGAAAAATATTTTCTTGAAATACCATATTTCTACTCATAATAAAGGATTTTGAGTGAAGGTAATAGATCTTGTAGCCCTTCTGAGTTGAAGAATAGCCCAAAAAAGCTCCAGGTACTGCTCTTGAAGCAAACTTGTCCAATTCCTTGGATAAGGTTGCATAACACAAATAACCAAATACTTTGAGATGTGTGAGGGATGAAGCATGCAAATAAAACATATCAAAAGGTGATTTGCCACCAATGACTCTTGAGGGAAGTCTATTAATCAAATAAACAGTAGTAGATACACATCCTCCCTAGAATTTCAAAGGGATAGCAGCCTGAAATTTCATAGCTTTGGCCATCTCTAAAATGGTCCTGTGTATCCTCTCAGCAACTCCATGTTGCTGAGGAGTGTAGGTGCAGGTACTTTGATGAATAATTTCCATGGATGACAAGAGATTGTGTACTTCATGATTAAAGAATTCACTGCCATTATCAGTTCTAAGAGTCTTAACTGATACAGAGAACACATTCTTCACCTTTGTTAGGAAATCTTTCAGAACAACCACTGTATCTGACTTAGAGACAAGCAAGAAAATCCAGGTAAACCTAGAGTAATCATCCACAATAGTAACAAAGAATCTTTTACTGTCATATGTTGTTACCCTATAGGGCCCCCATACATCACAATGTAGCAGTTCAAAAGTAGCATTAGAAGTAGTACTGCTCAGTTTATAAGATAACTTTGTTTGCTTGGCTAAAGGGCATACACTGAAGTGAGTGTGATTGGTGTTTTTCAGGTTACTCAGTGATGTGTACTTCTTGATTACATCTAGAGGTGCATGACCTATCCTTCTATGCCAGATTACACTAGAATCAGAGCATTCATTAGCCATACAAGCAAACTTATTCCCAGACTTAGTAGTTTTATTTACAAACTTCACCTCAGATACTTGTTGAGGAGTTTTATTCCTTAGTTGAGCTGGATTATATTGCAGTCTACCACTTAGTAATGACTTGCCTTGCATTAGGTACAATCCCTGATCCTCCTTACCAATTTCCTTCATCTGACCACTGTAAAGATCCTAGAAGATACAGAAGTCAGGAAATAATGCCACAAGACACTGCAACTCCTTGGTCAGTTTAGACACAGACAACAGGTTGTATTTAAACTCTGGTATGTATAGTACATTACTAATATCCCGATAGTTAAATACACTTGCTTTTCCTATATGTGAAATAGAGGCAACATTTCCTGTAGGCAAGTGAACCTTACTTCCCTTTTGAGATGGAACTGACTGACATGAATTTAACATCTATAGTGTGGATGTCATATGATTTGAAGTTCCAGAATTTATTATCCAGTTGTTATTAACATGATTGGATAATTGAGCTATCAGTTTACCTGCAGTTGCAGCTCTGGCAGAAGGAACTTCATCTGCCCCCTTATTAAGTAGCTGATCTATCTCCTGATATTGCTCCTGAGAAAAGAAAGTAGTTGGAGTTGGTGCTTGTTGCTGAGGCATGTGCTGAAATCCAATTGGTGAAGGCATCTGCATTTGCTGAGACATATGCTGAAATCCAGTTGATGAAGGCACTTGCATTTGCTGCAGCCCACATGTTATTCCTTCTCCTCTTCCTTGTAAATCTCTAAACTACATCTGAGTGTTTTGCATAGCAGGGTTGTAGTTAGGAGCAGTGCACCAGAGTTACCCCCTTTCTTCTTTGTCTTAAAGTTAGACTTGAAGTCTTGAGGGTATCCTATTAGCTTGAAACATTTTTCCTTGGTGTGTCCTTTGTAGTTACAAAACTCACAAACCACTGTCTTCTTCTGAGCTCTAAATTGTCCATAACCAGTAGTTGGATTTTTGTTGCTATACAGAGCAGTGCTGTCAGCAACTTCTACTACTTGCATCATTTGAGAGAAATTAGCCAGATTCCTTTGGCTTTCCACATCCATAAGTAGAGAGTAGGCCTTGTTAATGCTAGGCACTGGTGACATCATCATGATTTGACTTCGAGCTTGAGAATAAGTATCTTTCAATCCCTTAAGAAACTGGAGTAATCTGTGATACTCAAAATGCTCAGCATATTTCTTTGATTCTGGGCAGGGACAACCAGGACAGGGCATGAGGGTATCAAACTCATACTATAGGTCCCTTAGTTTAGAGAAGTAATCAACCATATTCATTGTTCCCTGTGTTAGAATATGAATCTCTCTATGTAGGTATAGAACCCTAGATCCATTTACCTTATCGAACCTCTCCTTCAGGTCTTCCCACACCTTATGAGCAATAGAAGCATACACGACACTACTCAATAGCCCTGGGCGCACAACATTCATAATCCAAGAGAGCACTATAACATTTACCTTCTCCCATTTCTTGTGGAATTCAGGTTCAAACTTAGATTTTGGGTATCGACCATCCACAAAACCTAATTTACTTTTACCTAATAGACCTATTCTCATAGGTCGACTCCACAAAGCTTAGTTATTTGAGCCAGTTAGCTAAAGAGAAATGAGTGAGCTACCTGGTGTATCAGTTGGTTGAAGGAATAGAGGATGATTGTGATCAATTGTGGGGAAGACAGTAGGTGCTACTGGTGCATTCACCTATCTCGATATACTCTCGTTTGTTTCGTCTCCAATCGCCATTGATGAAGCTTTCCAGTTGACTAAATCACAAAACCTAGCTCAAAGTTGTTGCTACTTTCAGACAATTCAGTATAGCTTGACTGAATCGCAGTAACACATATACACACAATTGAGTAAGGAATTAGATTGAGATCGTTATCGCGAGCTCTGATACCATGTTAGCTTCCATGGATATGGAAGCTCTTAGATGAAAGCTCGACTTGGAGAAGAAGCTAAGAGAAAATTCAGAGAAACAGAATTACTGTTCTATTGAAGTTGAAGAAAATGAACTTTCTTTATATTTTAGTATCTACAATGTATTTATACTATAAATTAGTTACTAACCTCCTAACAACCTTTCTAAATATTTAAATAATACGATTAGCTAACTCTACTCTTAACCACCTACACTAAATGTAGTTTAATAGTTCCACTTCTCTTAACAAAACTGTATTGAAATTTTTTTTTTCCTTGTGTGCTTGGAATATATGCATTTATATACCTCTTTGACTCTTCTTTGTTTCCTTGACTTTCTTCAATTCAATCAGAGAATATTTTTCTTAATTAATGCATGTTGATTTTATTATTTTTCATGTTTCATGTTTTTGTTATCTTTTTGGGTTTCTAATTTTTACAATGCATGTCGTTCCCAGTTTGATTTTTGGTTGTTCCGGCATCCCTAAGCTTTTCTGGGTGATCGTGATTGGCTCTTTTCTAGGTTAACAATTTATTTTATTTTAATTTTGCTAAGTTTCGTTGCGAGTTCTGCAATTCAATTTCTATTCAAGGTTTGCACGAATTATTTTGCCATAATTTTAACTTAATTCTAAGTAGTTTTTATTATTGCCCGTAATTAACAAATTGAGATTCAAAATGCTTCTTTTTCCTGAATTATATTATTATTTTAATTAGTTGAGTTAAGATTGAGGTGCAATTAATGGATTAATATTCTCTATTTTTCTTTTGTGTGTTGACTTGGTTAATTGATGGTTGCAGTTAAAGGGATTATTTTTGTCTTAGATGTGAGATCAGATTAGATGTAATATTAAATTTGACTCATGGCTGAAGAACTCACAAGAATGTGAGATTTATGTTTGTAGGAGGTAATCCTTCTTTTATACGATCACTTTGTATCTCTAATTTATTTTAATTTGAGACAATCATTGCCATTGATGGGGATCATTAGACCCTCTTTGCTTTGAAAGTTTGAAGCTTAGACAATTTGTGACAGTTATCATCCTTTAAGACAATCCCTCGAATAGTGGTGATTGAAGCTCGGAAGCAATGAATCTTGAACTCTGTTGAACACGTCTATCTGCTCCAGACTATATTAATGTATAAGTAACACATATAAAATAGGTTTTTCGTATTGGATGTTTTAAATGCTAGCCTTTTGTTTTAATTAGCTTTATGTAGGATAATAAATAAACAAAATCTAATAAATGTCAGGATTACAAACTTTTGGTTTCTGTTGATCTTTAATGAAACTAGTCTTCATATTTTGAGTTAAAATTTTGTATTTCTCTAACTTTACCTAGAGTTTACCTTTTTATTGGGTTCTTATCTCACTATACCTGTGAACTGCTTATCCTGCACTGTATATTGTCTTTTCTCTTTATTTTTTTGTTGGTTATTTATTTGAAAAATGACTAAATTTGTAATATGTCTAATTGCTACTCGCTTTCTCTGATCACACTTCAATTACTTTTTTTTGTGCATGTCTCTTCTTAGAGGTGGTGAGGTACAGTTTGCAATATAATGTTGTATGTGAAGCAGATCTTTTATGTCATACCATTTCTTTTCCTAAAGATTTCATATGGTTGTGATGGCATAACTTGCCAATTTAGAAGTTAGGCATAGAGTAAATAACCTAAAAATTAAGTTGTAGCAATAGTAGCTACATATGCTTCCTGAATCCTTGTAAAGTACTCCTTGGTTGTAAATAGTAATCAGCCATGATATATACCAAGTAATGACTCTGAGACAACTACGTGCATACCTTTCAGTAAGATGATATTAATTATTTGATATAAATGAAGTAGTTAGGGGAAGTGTCTAATTCCTCATCCAACTCATCGGGATGAGCAGCATCAGCACTAGAAAGTCGAGATCCATATGCGGAGGGTACCATGGCCTCCATTTGTAGTACGAAATTCTCTAAATTCGATGCTACAATTATCTGGTGTGTTTTTGTAAAACCCTAAAAAATTTCTAAGTGTTTTAAGACCATTAAGAAGATTGGCAGGTGCTAATTATATCAATTAGGGTATGAACAAGACTGATAATTTAAATGATATTAATTGATCATGATAATATATGTATGAGGTGCATTAAGAATGGTTTATGGTCTAAGAAGAGCCCTAAGGCTAAGTTAAGTTGAAAATTATATGATGGGATAAAGTTTTAAGTGAGTTCGCACAAGATTTAATTTCAAACGAGAATAATTCTCAGGATATGAAGATTTATATGGTGTATAACCTATCAAATTAAATCTCTTTGAGTCTAGTTTCCAACGCATCAAACCGTTCGTCATTTGGATATGTATGCAGAAAGTTATGGCCATTTTACTGGACCTATGTCATATGCGAGCCCAGATGAGCGGCCATGCATATTTGGGAGTTTTTGCCTTGTGTGTGCAGCCGGACGCGCGGCCACTTGCCCAGGTGCGCGGACGCACACATAGGAGCTCATTTAATACCCCCAAGGCCGGTAGAGAGAGGGGTTAAGTCATATTTGAGCTAAAACCTGATATTTTAGAGAGATGTAAGAGCATTTTAGAGAGAGAAGGAGTAAACCTAACATTCTAATCATCCAATCTTGCACCAATCTCCAAGAATCAAGGAAGCTAATTACAAGATCTTCATAAAAAATCTAAGGTTTCATACCCTAGTTTTTAATTTCGGGATTTGGAGTAAAACTAGGTCATAAGAAGTATGATTCTTGGGTGTGAGAGTATTATGTATACATGTATGGATTTGTTATGGAAATATGAGTATGAATCATGTATTGGAACTCATGGTATAGTGATTTGAAGCCATAAATTCTCAATTTAAATGAATACCCATTGTAGAAATTGAAAAGTGATTATTTGATGAAATTTTGTTGGTTGGGTGAGAATGGTTGGTCACACATGTGATGTTAGAATTATAAGTTGTTAAAGAATGAAGGTGGGATGAATTGTTGGTAAATGATAGTAGTTGGAAGAACTAAATTATATGGTTAAGAAATGTATAAATATATGCCCACTAGGTGTTTGGTAAATTGTCTAAATGGCATAAACTTTGGAATTGGTTACTAATGTTGGTCCCATTGGATGTTGATATTGTAGATTGAAGTTGTTTAGTATAGTAGATCGTTGTAGTATCATTAAAGGGTGAATTTCAGTTTCGGATCGTTGGCATTGAATTGAGGAGACAAGAAGGCATTCTAAGGTGGATACGTGCGGAATGGAATATCCCGAGTATGATTAGCTTGTTCGACGTTGGGTTCGTCTTGTTGAGGTAAGTAACAGTTTTAAATTTGGTCCTGGGGTATGAAACCCATGATTATGTGTTATGTGATTGGTTTTGAGGTGACACACATTCTATGTGACGGGCGTGTGGGCGTACACCGTAGGAATTGTGACTGGGTAAAATTCCATGGAACTGTGTAGTTGAATAATCTGTTGATACCAGTATATTCTCTATGTGTTAGAGAAATTTTAGCCGAGACTCGTATTAAAAATCATGCTTAGACATATGCTGTTATTATTGGTACCCACTAGGATCATTTGTGGTTGAATTATATATTCAAATTGTAATTTTACATTCAATCATGTTTATTCATTTCATATCATATCTCAGTCTCTATTGCTATTTATTAATACATCATATTATCAATTTTGGGCTGATTATCATGATTTCTGAGAGCCCGAGAGACTGAAAATATTGATGACTGAGTGAGGCCGAGGGCCTAATTGTGAGGATATTTATGGATCGATCTGCACGCTGCAGCATGTTTCATTGATTTATGTCATTATTGGCTTGATATAGTGCTTGGACTAAAGGAGACCCTCCGGAGTCTGTACACACCCCCAGTGAGCACAAGTACCTACTGAGTGAGAGTGCCGAGTGTTGAGTGACTGTGAGGAATGAGTGACTGTGAGGAAAGAGTGAATGTGAGGTTGAAGTGAATGGGAGGATTGAGTGACTGTTACTCTAAGAAGATGCATTGATTTCATTATTTGTTGCATTTCAGCTGTCATATAGCACTATTTTGAAAATTTCAAAAAAATATTATTTTCTGTTTTAGTCAAATTTGATATGCAATTTCTGTGAAATTTTAAATGTTGAACTCGAGAGCATGCCTACCCTTTTATGTTGGAAAGTACTGCATTTGGACTTAGCTGAGAAGCTCGTCACTACTTTTAGTTCCTTATTTATTATTATTGCTTACTGAGTTGGTTGTACTCATACTACACCCTGCACTTCATGTGCAGATCCATGTAATCCTGGATACAGTGGGTGTTGATTCTTTCACACAGTTAATTTTTCGAATATTCAGAGGTAGATGCCATGTTTCGTAGACCTTGTCTCTCCTTCCCTATCCTCTTGTTTATTGTATTTGGTCTCAGATCGTTATAGACCGTATTTTTTTCTAGACTTGTAATGTATAAATAATCATGTACTCGGTGACACCGAGTTTTGGGAGTGTTTGTATCGGTATTTGAGAGAATTTTGGATTGTGTGGGTTATTGATGGTGTCGGCTTGCCTAGTATTGAGATAGGCACCATCACGACAGGTTAGGATTTTGGGTCGTGACAAGTTGGTATCAGAGCCTAGGTTACATAGGTCTC